TAGGCATGTGGACACATCCCAGTGGCTAGAACATACATGACCCCTGCCTTCATGGAGCACAGAGTCCAGGGCAGAAGGCAGACTGGAGCTGTGCCGGCAAAGGAGAGCCCAGGGGCTGCGGGGTGTTGACACCAGCTCCTGCCACTTCCCCGGCCCAGGCCAGAGGGCAGGGCCACACTGCTCTTGTGAATATCTTTGCTCCACTTGTCAAGCAGCATTTATTGATTCTAGCAACCACTTTTAATAAGTAGCGCAAATGTTCCTAGGTCACTTGAAAAAATCACTGATGCTGTGTGTGTTTTATTTTTTAGATGCCATACATATGTTTATTTTCATGGTAATTCTTAGCAAGAACATTTTAAAAAGCTGGATCTCTGTCCCATACGGAATCTACATAATCATTCATTGCTGCTAACTGCTGGCAAGTGAGTGAATACCTTTAGACCAAGTGGTATCATCGTGTCATGCAAAGGGTCGTTCTGCATGGCCCTGTAGTACAGTGGTCGCATGCACGGACTCTGGAGTCAGCTGGCTACGCCTTGCCTCTCTGTGCCTCAAGATCCCCATCTGCAAAGTAGGCATGACCCAGGCAATGCCACCTGCCTCATCTCTTCTTGTGGGGACTGAATGAGGATCAGCACAGTGCCTGGAACGGTGCCTCGCTCAGAGGCAGTGTCCTGTGACATTAAGTGAAAAAGACCTTTCCATGCAAATGTTTCCTTTGGGCACAGACATGCTGAGATTCTGCTTTAGCTGCAGGATGGTTTGAGTCTGGCTTTGGTTTTCTATTACAGCTTCTTTGATCTCTCAGTTCAACCATTTCGCAAAGGCTTCTGCTTGCAGGAGGGTCTTGAGTGGGTGCATTTTCTGGTGCTCTTTGATAAGGAGTGCGGTATGAGCATTCGGTTTGAGCATGACAGCTTAATGACTTCCCACGATAACTTCTTATATCAAAGATTATTTTCCTTAAGCCTGGGAGTTGAAACAATATCTTTTGCTCAGAAATAAATAAGCTTAGAAGGAGGAAATGAGAATTTTCTTTGCTGCTTGCAATGGTTTCGCTTTTTAAAATTTCATAACGTGTGCTTTCATTACATAAAAAAAAAAAAAATCTACCCTTCTTTTTTTCTTTATCTTGTATTTTGTTCCACTTGGCTTCACTGGGAGATTTGAAAATGAACTGATGTGGAAGGTAAATCCAGAAAAGTTTAATGCAGTTTGTAGTTCCAACTTGGAAGTTGTTACACCTTCAGCTGAATTTTAGTTAACGTGCTAGGTACTTCAGCAGACTTTTAAAATTATCCTCACTGAATTACTTTTCTGTAGTTAATCATGAGAGCGGAAGCATGCTAATAAAATTAAAAATGAGGGGGTCTCTGGCTAAAAATGATCATAAGTAAAATATGACTTTGAGAATTAATATGTAAACCAAAAGAAGGCTTTCATTAGGTTGTTTGCTTTTTCACAATAAGATGTTGGAGTTATAATGTAATTCAGTTGTTTGAGATCATTTTAACAGAAAGCATCAGAAATGAGAACTGGAAAGGTGGGGCCAGCTGGATACCATGCACGTAGTAAATTTCATCAAGCAGAGAGCTGTGTGCAAGGCACCGGGCCTGGTCTTGGAGGGACAGGGACACGCATATGGGGGCAAGGTGGACGAGTAGCAGACAAGGCAGGACTTGGTCTGTTAGCAGGTGGAAGGAAAGTAGGGGAGGAAACATTGCTTCTCGTTTAGATGATGGAGGAAAGTCTCCCATGGAGGTGGCATCTGCCTGTGTCTTGGGGATGAATAGGTTTTGGGGACAGAGGGGAGTATTCCTGGTGGCGAGAATGGCAACAATAAGAGAGGGAGGGAAATAGAAAGCTACAGACAGGAGATCATGGGGAAATAAATAGATAAGCAAGTACTTATTCCATAATGCATGTTGACTTTTTATGAACCATTTGATGAAATCCCTGAGTAGATGCCAGAGAGGCAGTGGGTCATGGTTTTAAGAATTCAGTCTCCTGGCCCGGCACCATTCTAGCTGTGTGATCCTGGTTAAAGTGCATGAGCTCTCTGAGCTTCACTATCCTCTTGTGTAAAGTGGGGTAATCATAACAGCATTGTTGGCAAGAGGTAAGTTAGTGCATATTTAGAACTTAGCATGCGTTAGGTCCAGAGTATGTGATGAATAAATACTGACTCTTAACAGCAGTAAATAAATCGTTCATAAGTATGAGTGTTTCCTTTTAGGATCTTTCTGGGAATAGAAGTGTGTTTGCAGTCTCCATGGGTTCATCTCTAACCCAGGCACTGCTTCTAGCTGACCCAGCTCCACTGAAGGAGAAGGAAGCAGGTGAGGAGGCCTCCAGAGCATGGTTCCTGCAGGGCCCACTGCCTGCAGGTTGACCAGTTGACCTGGAGCAAACCTTCAGGGAAACATCTGGCCACTCACCTGTGAGCATGTGCCCTCTGCAGGTGGCTGATGGAACCTGCTTCCAGGCCTGCCTGGGCATTCTGGAAACTGTCCTCATCAGAAGTGATGCTCAGACTTCGCTTCCGACGTCTGGTGCAGAATTTCCCCGGGACTTCCAAACAAATCTGAGCTTCCAGGGCTCAGCTGTTGGTGCTTTGCAAGAGGCAAGTGAGGCCTGTCTGGTTGTATGTCTGGAAGACACAAACCGAGTGTTATCCATGCCAAGTGTGTAATAACTTTGCCAAAAGACACACAGCTAGCACGCCGCACACATGGAGAATTCAAGAAACCTCTATGGCAGGAACCAGTTCATTCTTAAGAAACAAAAAACAGTGTGCCTGGGTGGCTCCATAGGGGAAGCATCTGCCTTCAGCTCAGGTCATGTTCTCATGGTCCTTGGATCAAGCCCCACATCGGGCTCCCTGCTCAGTGGGGAGTCTGCTTCTCCCTCTCTCTCTGTCCATCCACCTGTTTGTGCTCGCTCTCTTGCTATCTCTTCTCTCAAATGAATAGATAAAAATCTTAAAAACAAAGACCAGAAAAACCCCACAAAAGGTTCTCTTCTTGTTATTGGTAGTCCTGAACACTAGATTTTTTTTTCCCCCGTGGAGTTCTAAAGTACCCGAACAGGTGATTGTGAGTGGAAACACAGGGACAGAAATCGGGTCTTGGCAGAATTTCCACTTTGATTTGTGTGCAGATTTTTAATACAAGAGTGGAGACTTCAAGCATTTGTGCAGGTCGAAATGCTTCAGCAAGAAGCTTAAGCAATTAAATTTTATAACAATCATGCACAAACCCGTTCAGTGTTTCCAGGTCACATAAGCATCTGGATTTTCCGAGAGCAAGCAAATCACTTATTGATGGCAACTAAATGGTGTTCACTGCATCTTGGCCATAAGCTGGATTCTACCCACTAATAGTCGTTTCTCACTGAGCTCTCCTGCATGCAAATACGTCTGTCTTTTGTGCTATTCCTGTAACATCACTATTACAATACATTAAACTCTAAAAACATTTTTTCTGGGAATACTTTCAGTGTACCTTATGCATTCATCCACATTCGATATGTTAACTTGTTGGGATACATTTCACTTATGCCAGTGGTTTGAAGGATTTGGGGCCCAGCACACACACACAGAGACACACAAACATACACACACAAAACTTAAATAAAGTTTCTGGAAGGCGCAACATTTTTTCATCTGGCATGATAAAGTATAAGGATATTGTCATTCATTAGACCGACTTGTTCTGTAATTCCTAATACCTACTGGCAAAGTGTGAATGAGAATAGAAATGGATTCTGCGTTTACCGCTTGCTCTTCAGGAGGGCAGGATGAGCCAGCAGACACTGTGTTAGTAGAGTGTGTTTATGTCCTCTTCCGTCTGTATCTTTGAGGAAGTACTCAGAATTTGGTGTCACACTGGCATAAACTTAAGAATATTTGTTATTTTGGAAGTGTGTTCATTGTTGACAACGCCCATAGAGGGACAGCCAAGGGCAAAGCCGCTGTCTGCTGGTTGAGTTTGTACTTGGTGAGTCCAATGTGGTCAATCTACACTGCGGCTGCATCCTGGGTGGGCCTGTGGGAACCTGTGACAGTGGGCAAGTATCCCCTCATGTCCTCCTGGTGCCTCAGAGAGCAAGCCCACCTGAGAAGAGGTTATACGAGCAAATGGTATTCCAGTTGGGTTCCCCAGGGCCGGGAATGTGTGTGTCCCTGTGTGAATCCAGCAGTGGCCAACAGGCTTGCGGGATCTTGCTCTTCACTGCTCAGTCCCGGGTGCTGAGAAGTGTGGCTGAGTCATAGTCCCTGACAACCACTTATCTACTTTCTTTCTCTTTGGACCCGCACATCCTGGGTATTCCATGTAAATGGAGTCACCTAGTACATGGCCTTTTGTCAATAGCCTCATTCATTGAACATTACGTTTTCTTGGGTCATCCATGGCATAGGACTTCACTCCGTCTTGTGACTGAGTTATATTCCCTTGTGTGGATGGACCAGTTTGCTTATCCACACATCAACTTGATGGATGTGCCCTTGGCTTTAAAACTGTGTTTCTGGGAATGCTCCCTGTCAGAAATAAAATTTTAGTTCTATCAGGTCCTCTGTCTTAGATCTGCTAAGGATTCCAGTGCACTCTGCCTCGAAGGTTTTATGACAAAGTCCACCTTCCCTCGGAGTGTCGTGTGGCCAGCAGATTGCCCCATGGCTAGGGATCACTTCTGCCTCAAGACCTTGAGTGAGGTGGGGGGCTGGCCCTACCGTCCCCAGGGCTGCACCAGGCTCTTGTGTGATGGGCCCAAGAACAGACAGGAGGACGTATGTATTTCTCAGAGCTCCCTCCCCAGTGCTCCTCTCTCCCTTAGGATTCTTATGTAATAGTGCCATCAGGTCATTAGTTCGTATTCCATGTGATTTTTTTCCTTTCTGAGTTGTGGAGTCTGGCTCTATTGCCGTGATATGCAGTTCTCTTGAGACTTAGGCTCATCCCGGGCTTTTGCTAAAATCTGCCTTTGTCTCTTTTCAGGTCGACCCAGTGTTTACAAGGGAAGTAAAAGCCAAAGTAAAGAGGTACGTGGAGGGAGCGAACCAGCATTTTGCAGGAGAGGAATACCCAGTGGCCAATCCCACTCGAATGTTTGTGCAGCACTCACCGTGCCCAGGCTCTGTTCCTAGTATTCCCAAATGCTACCTCCTGTGAGCTCCCCATGATCCTAGGAGATTCAGGTGTTGTACTTACCCCCACTTGACAGGAAGGATACCGTGCTGGTAGTGTAAGCAATCCCTGCAGGAGTGGCGATGCCCAGCCTTGCTCACTCAGGGAAATGCTGATGCAAGCCACTTTGAAATTATAATTCCCACAGATCACATTGGCAAAAACCGAAAAGACCTAAAATATCAAGTGCTTGGTAGAACCAAGGGAAACCATGGTGCATTTGCCTGCCAGTAGCAGAGGCTCCAGAACACAGGCTTGAACATGTGGCGGCTAATTGCTCACAAAAGAAACAACCATGTGTGGTTGGCCTGGGACCAAGTATGACTTTGGGGAGATGGGTCCTCAGCCTCAGTCCAGCCATCCTCTGCCTGTGGCTTCCGTCCTGAGGGTGACAGTGGCCACAGAGCTCCGCCAGCACATCCTGAGTTTTCAATGGAGAGATGGGAAAGAGCAGGAGCCAAAAGGGTCACCTCCCATTTGGGCCAACCCCCTTTCAGGTGATATCCTCATGATCGATCCCCCAGAATGACTCCTCCGTGTCACTGGTCATCTCCATCAGCAAAGGGCACTGAGAAGTCCTGATTTCATCCCCATAGATAAGCAGGCATCTTTCTATTATTGCTTATAGATCCTGAGTGCTCGCAGATAAAGCTATAAGCAGTTATATGAGTGATGGAAAAGGGTGTTGGATGGACATGAATCAGTGTTGCTGGATGAGAAAAATAAAACAAAACCTCCGTGATATGTCAGTTTTGGGCGGTAGGCACCTGGGTGCTTGTTGCAATCTCTATTTTAACATTTCTGTTTCTGTTTATTGTATTTCAATTATTGTCCCTATTGCTGTTTTTAAAAAATCATTTGAAAAAAAGTTGCATTATTAGAAAAAGTGGCCAGAAACTTATATTTGGCTTCTGATACCTGGGAGGCATGACTCGCGGTGCTGGCGGCTCATCAGGGTGGGGAAGGGGAGAGACCCCTCACCCCCACACTGCTTTCCATGTCAAACCCACTGCGCTATCTGTGATGCCGACTTTTCCTGGAGAATTTCTCTGGAGCTGTTGCCTGTCCTCCCCGGAACCCCCTCCGCATAAGATTCCCAGTGGCAGAAACTGTCCCTGCCCCTGTTTCAGGACCCCTGGGGTGAGGCTGCTCCGGGAGATGCCTCAGGAAGACCTCCACGCGGCGCTCAAGAACTCCTTTGCGGTGCTCAATAGCTCTGTCTCCGAGGGCATGTCTGCGGCAATTCTGGAGGTAATTACACAGCCTGGGTCCTGGAGGTGGGATCAGGGAGCACATCCCTCCTGCTCTCATCTAAGAAGGGGGTGTCCTTGTTAGTCCACTCGTGCACCCCTCAGCACTGTGGAAAGCAAAACGGCCTCTCCTTCGGACCTCGAAAATCGTTTTTAAGTTCTATCTGAGACTTCAGAAAATATCCTTATATTTCTCTTTGCCAATTGTCCTTGGCAGCTATAAAATAAAAGAAAACTAGGTCAGAGAGGTGACCTCTCGTCTTTGATGGGAGGGCACCATGGTTATAAGAGGTTGCCCAGGAGATGGGGTTAAAGTGTGTTTTGGCAAGAAGTCTCTTTCTTGATCTTTTTTTTCTCCCTCTTTTCAGTATGCTCTATAATCCCAGAACTCAGGATGAGAATGGGTGGGACTTCTGCATGTGGCAGGATGGGGGTGACAGCATGGGGTGGGGTGACAGGTACACGGGGAGGGGTGGGCAGGGCTGTGAGGGGAGAGCTGATACCCTCATCTAGCATTTGACCCCAGAGCATCACTTCCTCCACACAAGGCAGCCCAGTACTGCCATCCAGTGCCGAGTCACTTGTTCTGTGGGGACAGGCAGGCATAAGGTGCCTCTGCCCTGGAAGTCCTGGCTGGCCGTGGCATGGCATCCAAGGAGGGGCTCAACCCAACCCCAGAACCCCTGTGTATCATTGGTCATGTGAGCTGTCGTGGCCGGGCAGTTCACCAGAACACCTGCTGCTTTGCACAGCTGCTGGAGGTGTCAGCATGTGTCTAACATAAGAAGGCTTTCCTTTTTGTCGTTTTGTTGTTCCTTCATCACGGGCTGGACTCCTTTTTCAAGAATGAGCTCAGCCCAGAATGGCCTCTCTTTGTGCCTGTCCAGACCAGCCCTCACTCCTGCAGTTCCTTCATAACATTCAGTCACAAGCCACAGCCTACATGTCATCATGTGCTGTTGCTTCCAGCTTCGAACATATGCCCTGCACTTGGTAGAGGTGCGTAAGAACTAGCTCACCATAAAACCTTCTCTAGAGAAGGGCACATTGACCATCGGGCCTCCAGGACTCTGAGACAGGGTTCACATCTTCTTTCTCAATGCGTGAGAAATGCCTACCCAGAGCCATGCCATCATTTTGTCATATTTGCGGTACCCACTTCTTGCTTTGGACACTAGTTGGATTTACTGAACTTGTTTGCAAAAGGTACAATTCAGCTTCTCAGGACATGGTAGATCATGAAAGCAGCCAAAGGAATAATCCTCCCTAAACTGAAGAACTGACTCATGTCCTGTGCCTCATATTCTCTTGTGCATCCTCCAAAAAAGCAAAATCCCAAACCCAAAGTGATATCGGGAGCAGGGTAGAAGCCGCATGACCAAACCTCGACGCCAGCGCTGGGGGCTTTCAGAGTGCACAGCACGACCATGACCCGTTGTCCCCAGGCAGAGCCAGGACCTCCACGGGAGCCGGAACGGCGGCGGCCGCCTCTTCGGGCTGGCTTCGGTCCCGGGGGCCAGGGCTTTCGCGCCTCATGCTGGCGTTAGAAAGGCACGTTCTTACCCCACCAGTCCTTGATGGGTGCTCAAATGCCCTTTGTATGTAAATATACATTTTCTTGTTCAAGTTCCCAAGAAAAAGCGAAGTCGAATTCAGGCATGATTTCATCACCGGCGCACAGCGCATCTCACAGCGGATGAACTGTCAAATCTCATTTCCTTCAAAGGAAAGGCAGCTGTTACCAAATGTGACTGCCTTAAATGTTGATGCTGTGCTCCTTTGGAAAACTCCAAAATAACCTTTGGGTTGAGGGTTTTGAATAAAGCTGATTTTAGAGGAGTGGTCTGGGTGCATTTCATTAGAATCCATTCAGATAACCAAAGTGCTTAATCACAGAATGAGCACATACACTTTGGAAGGAAGAGATCCTTCGACCTCCCAGAATTAGCTTTGTTTTCTCTTGGAAGTACATAAAAATCTCATTTGCTAACACACATCTCTTACTGATAAACTCCAAAAACCAAGCTTGAGCTGGATGTGTGGGCAGTAGAGTGAATATTCCGACAGCGAATCCACGGTTTCCAGCTTGGGCTTGTTACGGAGGTGAACGCCCTGTAAAATCATTATTTTTTTCTCTTTCTCTGTCTTTTCCTTTTCGCCCTGTAGAATTAAATTGAAGTAACGCAGAAAAGTATTTTCTCACCTCAGTCCCCGTACTTAGGCTCTCCACCCCACCCTGGAACACACACATGCATACACAAATACACACACATGCACGCGCGAGTGTGAGCACACACACACCACACACACACACGCTACCCTCCCGGTCAAAGCGTTGCTGCCCATGGGGAGGGGAGGCCATATTCTAAGGCCAAGAGTGACAAGATAATTGTCAAGCTCTTAGCTTCCAGGCCCAGTCCCTAGTGACTGAAGAGTCACTGAAGGGCTCTCCCCAAGGACAGTTGGGACTATGTGCCGTGTTGACTGTGGCTAGTGTGACAGTGAGTGTGTGTGGCTGGGCTGTGCCTATCCCACCCTAAAAAAGCGAACGGCCCTTCGAGTGGTCACAGTGGAAAGGGTGTTACTGGCATTTAGTTGAGGGTGGCGGGGAGGGACCTGCAGGGAGATGAAGCACTTCTCAAGGCACAAGATTGTCTCTTGCATCTGAGAGTGGTTTCCCAAATACAGTGGGCCTCCGTGCTGAGAAACATTCTAACCTGCGGGATGTAAGATCCACGGCAGCCAGTGTGTGTGTGTGTGTGTGTGTGTGTGTGTGTGTGTCAGCGGGATCTCGGACCCACCTTGTGCCCACCCGACAGGCCATGGTCACCGCCCTGAACACGCGCTAGTCAAGGCTGTGAAAACACAAGCAAACCTCTGCATGAGAAAATCCAGGCCACGGAGGCTTTTGACCTAGGGTGTGCATCAGCAGCCCCTCCGTAAATACAGGTGACAGCCAGTGCCCACGCTTCGAGGCCCACTCTCCCCAGCTTCGGTGGAGGGGCCCTAGCAGCTGCGCCCTAGAGGCTGGTCTGCACGTGGAGGGGTGGCAGCGTCTTGGGACCTTTATGGCAGCTCTGCAGAAAAGGGGGCACTAGCTACAAGGGTCTTTTACAAGTGGAATCTGATTTTCAGCCACGAATGACAGGTAGGAGAGCTCACGCACGGAGAGATCGGGCACCTCTGAGTCCCTGAAACCCGGGACCAGGTCTGTGCCACTATCCTCCCCACGTGTCTTGCACTAGCCTCGTCTGTATTCCAGAAAGTGCTCACAGGGTGCACGCGCCCATCTCCAACACCGTCTGGCACAAGACGCGCTGCTGGTCCAGGTTTTGTCGGGACCCACTTCACACCCTGTCCTGCCCTGGACTTCACCTTTCTTAAGGGCAGCTTGTTTATAAGGAGGTGACTTCACGTCCTGAGAAAGCAACTTAAGAATCAACCATCAGATTCCTGAATGCCATGTCTTGGCCATATGAAAACAGCCTTCCCACCGGCTTCTTCCCTCTAAAGACGTTTCCTTTCCTGACGACAGTGTATTTCTGAAGAGGGGCCTTCACGGTTACCTGTTTGTGAATACACAACCATTGGGTCCCCTTACGTACCTTCTGCTCCACCCCACCGTAGGCCAGCACAACCCAGAAGGTATCGCAGCTCTCCTGGCCGACCGGAGCACATCTTCCCCGGTGTCTGGCTGAAATAGTGATAGTAATGGAAATAGTAATCAGATATATATATTCCTGGGCATCCTTTCATTTGACCAAGGTGTGCTGGGTGTGCAAAGTGCCCTGGCTTGGGCCATGCTCTGGGGACACAGCAGGGAGCAGGACATATAAAAGTCGTGGTTTATGGGGAATGTATGCCCTTGTTTGGGGCAGAAAGAAGGAATTAGAAACTGGAAGTGAGGAAATCTGTCAATGAACGTAGGGCTTTAGAAAGTAACAAATTCTTGGCAAGAAATGAGTGAGGGGGTGAAGGGGACAGGGTGGAAGGCGGCCAGCTGTCAGGGAGGGAGTGGCGGTCAGTGGCGAGTGTTCGGGGCTGAGCTGTGTCCCTGCGAGAGCTTGAGCATGAGGGTCCTAACCATCCCCCCCAGGACCTCTTCTAAAGCTGCGGTCAGTCTCTACAGAGGCAGTCGTGTTAGGATGAGTCATTAGGGTGGACCCCAAGCCACTGTGCTGGGTGTCCTAGTGAGAAGAGGGGATTTGGACAGATAGGCAAGCATAGACACAGGGGGGAAGATGGCATCTCCCAGCCAGGGAGGGATCCCTGGACCAGATCGTCTCCCTCACCCTCGGAAGCAATGAACCCTGAACCTTGCTCTCAGACTTCTGGCCTCTGGAACCGTGACGGCGCATTTCGTGCTTTGAGCCACCCCGTGTGTGGTGCTCTGTTTCCCTAGCACACTACTGCAACAGGAGGAGAGCACTTGAACTCAGCCCTGAATGATGAGAAAAGCCACCCCCAACAGGATCTGTGGGAAGAGAATCCGCTGAAGGGAACAACAGGAGCACTAGTGGAGCGACCAGAACCCCACACATTCCCAGTTCATGGCTGTTGTTGCTCTGCCTGACGGCAAGCTACCTTCCTTGCAGGATGGGTGTGGTGACTTTTATAGAAAACATTACCAACCAGCCATGCGGCAGCCACCCTACAGGAGATATTGTCTGCTCACCACATTGAGAATATGCCAGTTGTGTGACCTCACCTGTTCCTGATGACGGCGATCTCCAATAAGTGCTATTTCCACACAGCCAAGACAAGGTATCGTAGAAAGATAAAAGCACAAAATTTATCACGGGACTGAAAACAAAGAAGTTTTTGAGATAAAGAAAAAGTCATTAATTAGTGTTCTATGACATCACCATCCTTACACATGACATTTTATTTGATTTAGTACTGTAGCAATAAAAAGTCAGGAATGAAATATTCACTTACTCGGCAAGGAAATTTATTGAAAAACAATCTTTGGGCATGTGTTTTATAAATCGTTATTTGAAG